TATATATTCTGCAATACATTTTTCCAATCGGATTCGTTATTTCGAAAACGTGTATTTAAAATAATTATGATAATGATAGTAATAGGCATAAAAAATATTCAGTTATACACGTTAAAAGTGCATGAATATAGGCTTATGAATACATACCAGTATACTACTTGGGAATTCAAACCCAAAATCCATAGCCAGTTATTCATTCAGTTGCCAATTATTATAAACTATTGACCAATAATACCCAAAGTCTAATAGTAGGCCATAGTAGTTTAGTATTATTCAGCCAGGTGTCAATTAGGCTTAGTATACGATGACCAATAACACCTATAGACTATAGTATTCCATTCGGAATGTTTGGTACTAGCCAGCTAGGTGTCAATTGTATAAATTATACCACTAACTTACTTGTTGAACCTCAGCTATAACGAAACTCATTCATCAATCATTCGTTCATTTATTCATCAATTATTTCATTATTCATTCTTTATTGCAACTGTCGAGACAGAAATGCTATATTAAAACATATGTAATATTATATTTAACATTTTGACACTCACAACGCATTAAAGAAAACAATTACACATTCAACTTTTGGTTATTAATTTACACTGAATGAATTAAATATAGGTCTATGCAAATATAGGAATACTTCGTTGTGTGACGTCATTTAGTATTTCATTTTGTACGTACAATTTACAATACCTTAGTAATATATTCGTATTACTAAACCTCAACGTAATTTATACGTAGCTGTCACGATAGTTACATAATTTATGTAAGAGAAGTCGCGATATTTTGTTTAATCTTTTAGTCTTTTAGTAGTTTAAACTTTTAGTAATTAATTTAATATATGCATACATTTGTTGCGTCATATCATCTTTCAGCAATTCATTTTGTCACAAAATTTACGATACCTAAAGTAATACGTTCGTATCACTAAACTTATACGTAATGTATACGTAACAGCCACGATAGTTACATAATTTATATGTAAGAGGAGTCGCGATATTTTGTTTAATCTTTTAGTAGATATTTTGAGCGAATACGTGTTTGACATTCACTAAATGATATACTGCTAAAGAGACCATATAAACTGTAGCAATTCGATTGAGAATGGATTTGAAAGTTAACTTCTTAAATGGGCTGATAATAAATAGTGTTTAAGTACTAGGAATATAAACATGTATGAATTTATGATCCAAAGCGCAAGTCACTGGTGAACAAAGAAGGTGTGTTTGAACCATGGCTTAAGGACTAGCAGTGGTGGAGTCTGAAAACCTCCTTACAATTAATTAAAACACTATCAGTGAGACACTTAAGGTGCATTTACGAATCATAATTTTCCGATGGGAAAGCCTAACGAAGGAATCAGAAAATATGATGAGCGGGTAAGAAAGGACGCTGGCGTTTCAGCGCATCAGAAACGCGGTCCAAATTTCGGTTCGGATCCGATTTGAATTCAGCATTATCCGGCACCAAAACAATTCAGTTTTTGCAGTTTGCTGATATGTTTTTTACTACTAAATCCTTAAATTGATTATGAGTTCATTTGGATCTTGATGTGGATAATAAATTAAATTGGTAAAACTCGTTTTGGAGCATTAGACCAATTGTGTCCGAGTCAGTCTTTCTGGTTGCCATGAAAATGAAAAAAATGTAATTAATATAATGAGGAATAAAAACCACTTCGAGCACTGTTATTATTTATTTATATTGTATATCTGATATTTATTGTCACAATATGTAGCAAATGTTAATTTGTTAGTTTTTAAGCTCACACGAACATGATATTTGTAAAATTAATGTAAACTATTTAGGTGGATACAGTCGTATTTAACTCCAGTTCACCCGGCCGCGCTCCTCTGCTGGAGGTGTTATTGCCATGCAATTTTCTTTTAATGTTCTGAGACCGTAGTGTTCATTTTGGTTTTCCTATTTCTGTCAACGTTCAGACTCAAGTGGTCCATATCATACATATATATCTCATATATATATATAGATATATATATATATTCCATAATTTCTTACCTAATTTGGATACATTCAGTATGTGTTTGACCACACAAGATACCAGTTTGATGTCAGAAAGTGTTAATTCGCAA